ATGATGACGACGATGATGGGGCTGTAATAATGATCAGTTGTACGCTACTAGCAATGTTTGGTTTCGGTTCGATAAGTTTGAGTTTCACATTAATGTGCCACAGTTATGGATTTAAATAATGAGCTCCTTGCATTCCTATGTATGTGTGCATGTTTGTGTGTGTGTGTGTGTGTGTGATTGTGTATGTATTTTTGCATGTTTGTGTCTTGTGTCTATGTGTGTATGTGTGCATGTATGTTCATTGTTCATATCATTATTATTACCATTTTTTAAAAATAATTTATATAGTGTTAATCAAAAACTTCTAAGAGCTCTCACATTTTATAACCGAAAACTGCGCGCGTGACCGATGGCGAGCCTGGCGGGGCCAGGAAAGGAGACTGGCTCCCCGATGCGAGCAGAATTTTAATAAAAGTCAGAAAAATGACCGTTTCATGTGTAAAGTCGACTAAAAATTGAACATGATAAGCAAAAAGAAGTCGTCTTCCGTGAAAATTTAAACATTTTCAAATGTTTGGCCCCCGTCGAAGTTGTCTAGATCCGCCACTGTTCGTGACTGGCTATCCACCTACCTACCTACTTACCTACCTACCTACCTACCTACCCACCTACCCACCCACCTACCTGCCCACCCACCTACCTACCCACCCATCTACCTACTCACCTACCCACCCACCTACCTACCTACCTACCAACCTACTCATCTACCTACCCACCAATCTACCTACCTATCCACCCACCTACCTATCTGTAACCACACAGTTAACACCTGGCTCCTAATTGAATCATTCATTACTTTTTGTCGAGTGATTAATTGTTTGTTACTGCGCAAATTGTTATTTCGATTTTGTTGTCGTTGTTGTTGCAGCTACTGTTGTTGTCGTTGTTGTGTTGGTGGTTTTTGATACAGTTCAAAAAGTGCGCTACATTACCATGTGTTATAGATGTTTCTTATCATTGTTGGTACCGAGAAAATTCTTTTAAATCTTTCGTGAGAACCGTTCGAAAGTCATTCATCTATTTCAAACATATCTCGTTGGATAAAAATTTCATAAAAGTTATCACTTCCTGGCATAATGAAAGTTCAAATTTATTAAAAAAAAGAAAAAAAGCCAAGCCCAGATACTTCATTGATCCGACTACAATTTTAAAAGTGGACTTAAAATAGACAGAGCTCTTCGACAACAACGAATCTTACAACAATCATCAAACGTCTGGGCATTCTACACTTCGTAAACTCAATAGAAAAAAATCAATTGCTTCAAATACCAAGAAAGGACCACGACGTCTACCTATGTGTAGAGGAATCGAAACAACAAAAAAAAGAACCTTTTTTCGTGAACCGAAAAGAAATAACGCAGGTTTCAAGAACAACGGTCTGGTTAAACAACCCACGGCGCAGAAAAAGGCCATGCCTGCTGAAACTCTCAAGAAATTGGAATGATCGGTACAAGGTCATTAACAGGACCTTTGATCGTGGAAGACAACGGACAAAGAAGAAAGTCGTCCATTTGGGTGAGTTAGTCCCAATTCATCGGAATAAAGAAATAACGCCTATGTTAGGCACTAACAGCCTAAGGTGGGGGAATGTTATATCCCCCTGAATGGTACAATTACGCTATATAATTATTTATTGTTATCTTATTATATTTGTTATTTTTGCTATCTGTCATCGATTGTACACCATGGAATCTTTCATGCCATAGAGGATTGTAAAAATCTACCGTAGAAGGCATATAAGGGGCAGGAGAAGCGATGGTAGGTAATAGCAAGGTTAACAATGACGTTTGAAGCGAAGTTGTAATTGGGATTATTTTGTTGTTACTTAGATTAATTTAGTGTATTTATTACTGTTGGCATTTGAAAAAACGTTCAACAAATTTTTGCTTTAAAGCAGTTGTGCTTCAGCTTTAGGAGGATTTGATTCATAACCACTTCCACATTCAAACACAGAACATTTCAAAACCACGTTCAGTTAAGAATTACAATAAAAATTTAATTACTATAATAACAATTGTAAGACACGCGTAAATGAGCCACGTGTTTACAACTATTTGAAGCAACTTTGCATGCAGATAAGATAGCCAATGCTTTGCTGTTTGCCTGCTAGTCAGTCAACTAGCTAAAAAGTGTACCGTGTGCTGTTGTGTAGAGACTGCTGTCCATGTCATGTCGAGACAGTCATTAGTTATCGGTATATTTCATTATTTAGTTTCTTTTCTGGAGTATTGTTGAAATCTTTTGTTCTTTGTTTATCAGGGGTTCTTTTAGGTCGATGAAAATGTCTAAAAGGCTAATTTCAGATGGGAATATATATATATATATATATATATATATATATATATATATATATATATATATATATATATATATATATATATAACTGTGTGTGTCTGTGTGTATGGTTTTTTTTATTTGATTTAATTAATTGTAAAATTCTCTTGATATATTTTTTTAAGTTTTTTAGGTTTTCTGTTCGAAATCATATTTAGTGAATTTGTTTGATTATTTATTCATAATTTTCAATAATACTTAAAATACCATTCATTGCATTTTCTGATTATTTTCAATCAATCTGTCAATTTTTTTTTATTCAGATAAATATCAGATGATTTCATGTTTCCATCAATTTTCAAGACAAATAAAAACATGTGCAACTGCCTTTGACACACCATTTCAACTCTACACGAGCTTAGGCGATGATAGGATGGCTTGTAGGTGTGTATAATATTATGTTTGTATGTTTGTTGTTTCAAATGTTTGTATATTGTTTGTATATTGTTTGTATCTGTCATTATGTTGCTTTATATGTTTATATGTCGTTTGTATGCTTGTATGAAAGATGTATGGTGCATGTTATGGTTTGTGTGTTTCTGCATTCAGTTGTATGTAAACTTTTTTTTTATCATTTTGTTAGTTGATTCGCGTTGCCATGAGAGAATTATAAGTGCTGTGTAGTTTGGTTGGTAGTTCTAAAATGTTAAACATTCTCTAAATAAAGTTTTGTACAGATCAGTAGTGTTGATGTGTAAATGTTAGAGATCAGAACAAAATTAAGCTTTAATGTACTGAAGACATGATTTAAAAAACACAAAATGATAAACTCAATTTTATTTCCAACGTTCAATACTGCCGTTTGTTTTTTCAAAATTCGAATAGAACTGAAGCATAAACATTTTTGAAGAAAAAATTGTCCATTGTAAGTCTGGAGACCTGGAGAATTATGCTTTATTTTTCATTGAATGAAACCTTTCGTATCTGAAGCTCGGTTCCATCAAGTCTGAGGACAAATGTCTTCTTAATAAAGTTTACACCAAACACCCAGACACAAACACGTACATAGGCAGTCGCACTCACACGTACTTAGTGAATTTATATTAAATATATATAGTAATGTAAGCTTACGGTTCTAACACGCACAGAAAAACAATAATTTATGCGAATACCTGTATTGATATATTAAAACCAAATTTACAGTGTAGATTAATTTATTGTTACTAAGTTGAAATCAAAGAATCTTGAAACCAAATTAAAATTTTTAGATTTCTTGAAATTTTTCATAACGACCATTATGATTTTGTACATTTTTTATAACTTAATTGTCGGTGCCATGAAAATTTACTGGCGCCATCAGTTGCGATCGACAACATCATTATCATCATCAGTTCAAAATGTTATTCCTCCGCCGTACTAATCATCATATCATCATCATGATCGCCTTCACAATTGTCCTTATCAACTTCATCCTGAAATTTATAAGCAGGAAGTACGTAATTATCATCGTCGTCATCAAAATCCCCATTTCACAGTTCGCCAGCTTCATCACGAGCATAATTTCTACCACCCACTGCACCACAACAATAATCACCATCACCACCATCACCACCAACATCACCACCAACATCATCATCATCACCATCATCATCATCACCATTATCATCATCACCACCACCACAGGATCCTGAACAACGCCCTCAACTGCTTCCTCAGTCTGGAGAGGGAGATGTCCACTCGCTGCCTCAACCCCGCCTGGTCGCACCACTTCAACCAAGCCTACATCCTTCCCCTGGCGAACAAATCAAAACAAATCAACTCCTATCGAGTGAACTGTCACCTGCCTCGATATTTAGAGAGCGTTTTGCAGTCCAGCTGTGGTGTTTTTCCTCGCTGGAATTTATTTTTCATTTTTATTGCCTTTACTTCGAGATTCTTTGTTGATTTTGCTTGCAACGTTCTTGTTTTTGAGAATCATGACGTCAGAAGGATGGCAGAGTTCTTGTTTTCTAGGTAGCGATGATGAATAAACGCTATATTAAATATTGTAGCATAATTTTGGGATTTTTTTTACATTTATTTGCAGTTCTTTTTGTTCCCAGCATTTTGACAAATTTGATAAACTAGAGGCAGAAGAACCGAATAAGAAAAATTTTAAAGTAAATTCTAGTTCAATGTTATCATGCATAGTCTACATAGCATAAGAAAATAAAAACTTCATACTTTTAAATGAGATCATTAACCATGTAACTAAATGTCGCTTGCATCAACTACTGCAGCTGCTACCGAAATGATGCTTTGTACTACTACTCCCATTGGTACTATTGCTACTATAAACACCACCTATTACTACAATTTCTACTACTACTACTACTACTACTACTACTACTACTACTACTACTACTACTACTACTACTACTACTACTATTACCATTATTATTTTATTACTATATTATTTTGATTATTATTTATTATTAATATTGTTATTATTGTTTTTTATATTATTTATCAATATTTACTATTTATATATATATATATATAAATATATTTTTATTCACCAAGTATATATTTTTATTCACCATATTATTCACCAAGTTAACCAATACTGCTATTCCTAAAACTACTTTTATCAAATTACTAATCTTGGTGAATATTGTTCCAGAAAAATACTACTACTTATTAATACTACTATGACTGCCAAGACCGCCATTACTGCTACTACTGCTACTGCCTTTAAGTATTACTTTTAATACAATCATGGTTAATATAAAAAAAACAGAGTCCAATAAATATACATTTTGTATCCGTTTTGAATTTGTCCTCTCTTTCTTTCTTAAAATTACTATTAACGATATTGCTTTTACTTGAAAGCATACAATTTTATTTGATTTCTTTTACGTTTCTCATTACAAACTCTGTTCTGCTTTTTGTTCTTGCGTTTGATATTCTCACTGAGTTTATTCAGTCCAACACAGGTAAGCACGATGTCGTTTTAAAATAGAATCTGCATTTAATGAGTTGTGTGTGATTGAGAGTGTATAAAAAGGCAACGAATCATCTATCTAACATTCCATCCATCCATTTATCAATCAATCAATCAGTCAAACCAGCCATCTATTTATCAATCCATCCATCCATCCATCCATCCATCCATCCATCCATCCATCCATCCATCCGCCCCTCCGTCCGCCTATCAATCTCCTAACATCGCAAAATATTTTCTCCATCCAGCATGTCAGAAAATTAATTTTATTAATACACAAAATTATGTTTGCAACCAATCTGATGACAATTTTTAGAGAGGGGCCAAGGTTTGATGAGGGTAGGCCAAAAACTGAAAGAACCAGGGGTCGTTTTTTGGCTTAGTGCGCGATTTTTGTCAATTTTCATATTTTAAACTGTGTTTTCATATATAAAAACTTATATAAAAAATGCAAAAAGGTTACAACAAAATCATTTTTGTATGTTGACAACAGAAGATGCCACCCTCTACATTCGCCATCGTTTGCAATTGATTTACATCTAAGTGTTGTATTTATCTCTTTCTATATGCAATTGTCTATCTATACATTACTATAAAGTAAACCCTTTGTTCAGTATATATACATACATATATATATATATATAATATATATATATATATTATACATATACATATATATATATTTATATATATATATATATTATTGATGAAAATCACAGCATGTTCGGCCTTAGTTATCTTCCAATTATCGATTTTTCTAACGGTTGATCGTAAAGAAAGCATTCCAATTGCCTGTTGTTGAATATTTATTATCGGATGTCCTTGTTCTATGAGTATTGTTTTAGCTAGTCATAAATTATAATGGTTGTAATTGTAATGTAAGGTTTTGAAATTGTGGTCCAAGATTTGTCTAGTAATATTAGTTTTGTGTTTCTCTTTCATGTGATTCTTTATAGCGCCAGTTTGTACAATTGTACATGCATCGTGAGTTTTCTCGATAGCTTGGTCGTCGTCATATGAAATTCTTCAATCCAATTGGAATTCTTCCCAATAAATTTAGAAACAGAGGAATCATCAAATAATGAAAACACGTAAAAGATTTATATTAAACGAGGTTGAAGATTGTAAAACTAATTGTAAAGCGGCGTGATGGCTCAATGGTTAAAGGCGCCTGGTCTTGCTATTGCAATGACTGGGTTCGAATACAAAGAGATCCCCGCCTATCATATGCAATGTGTATGATGCGTGGTTTGCACGCGTATTCATATACGCTGTGTGTTTGTCGTTGAAACCTCTAAAGCAAACGCAAAAGAGAAACCTTTAACCCTTAACCTTTAGTTAAATGAGCGTTAAGTATTATTCACTTTAAACAAACCAGGAATCAACAAAGTAGAGTAGAGGCACAGTATATATGTATATTTGAGTATCTGGGCACAACCACAACATATCAATTTGAACACCGAAGATGGTATAGAAATACCGATAGAAACTTTTTTGTTCTGTTATGCTAAAATAAACAAAAATTTTGGTTTTGAACTAAAGAAACTTGAAAATAACTTACGATCAATCGTTAGAAAAATCAAAAAGTTAAATTGGAAGTTAACTAACGCCGAACATGCTGTGATTTTCATAAATAATTGCATTTCTGACAGTCTTAATCTTATATATGTAATTGTATATGTACATATGATATATATGATATATATATATATATATATATATATATATATATATATATATATACGTATTCACACACACACAAAAACATGCTCAAAAAATGGAAAATATTAATTGAAGCAACTGACAACAAATGAATGTTCCCCTGTCTGTTATCGAGTTTACATTTCTTCATCATCGCATTCAATGTTTGCACTGAATTCATTCGTCTGTCCACTCGTTTTGTTTGTATCCATTGGAGTATTCATAACTTTTATTACGTATTGAAGATGTATTTGATATATATATATATATATATATGTGTGTGTGTGTGTGTGTGTGTGTGTGTGTGTGTGTGTGTGTGTGTGTGTGTGTGTAATGTATGTAATGAATTCAGTGTGATTAATGTATATATTTGATTAACAGGTGTAAAATATTTTAAGCTGGTGTCACTATAATAACGATGTTATAATAATATGATAATGTTGTTATTATCTAACGCTATCTAATATGTCATTCCAGGCTATATGTGTTAGACCTGTTTATATTATGTATACTGTTGCAATCTTTGACGTTCGTTACTACAGACACCGATGCTCTGGCTTCAAAGATCTCTATATTTATTTTCAACGCCACTGTTGTAGCTTCCAACAATCGTCAAGTGTTCGTTATTCCGTAGGTTTAAAATCTCCGAGAGATGAATACAACTGCTTCAAACGCATACCTTGTTGAACGTTAATTTGAATACCAACAGTGATAGAGAGAGTAAAACTAATCCAAGTATCTACATAAATCACATTTTTATAATTAATAATTAATTGAAATTTGTCATATAGCTCTTCAAACCTCGCGATTCACTCGCTAATATACCAGACATTCTCCCAATCCAAAGACTACAAATATAGCCCAGATAACAAACAATCAAGATGATAATTAATTGAAATTAGTCATATAGCTCTATTCGATCATTCCCGCGGTTATAGCATTACGTTATGATACGTTATGCTGGGCTATGTCATGTTATGCCACCTGCAACACAGGAAAAACACACCTTACATATTTAGAACAGCAGCACAATGTTCCTGTAAAATATTTCATCATGCAGTTACCTGCTTAGGTTTTTTTGGGTTTTTTTGGAGTGACGTTTCAAAGTTTTTTGACGGACTGAGTTTGTTCTTATAGTGCATATATGAAATTGATCGATGGAACATTTTTAAACATTGGGTGCAATAATTTCATCATCGTCACCATCGTTATCATCATCATCATCGTTGTCGTCTTCACATTTGACGTACGTCGATGATTTACTGTAAATTTTAAAAAACAGTCATAGATTAAATTTGTAAAGTTTGCATTCGTTCATTCATTTAGATTTTTTAATTTCGAGTTATACATAATAATATTTGTTCGACACCATCTTGTTGTACTCTTGGATACTTGAACGAGTTACGTAAACTGTGAATGTTCGTCTGTATCAATAATTTGCTCACAAATATATGTGCGTGTGTGTGTGTATGTGAGTGTATGTGTGCGTGTGTATGTTTGCATGCATGTATGTACGTATCATTGTTACTATAACACAATTCTGTCATAAATTACAAAATTTATAGAGGTAAGAGACGCACATTCATCATGATGAACATGTTTAAAGCTTAAATCCATCTTACCTGCGAGTGAATGTTCACTAATGAATTATTCATAAATACGTCTACACACACACACACACACACATATATATATATATATATATTTATATATATATACATATATATATATATATATATATATATATATATACATATATATATATATATATATATATATGAGTATTGTACTAAAAATTTCATTGAATCAGCGTTAATCATGTGCTTGTAATGTGTTTAGAAAAAATACATCACTGCAAGAATGATGAATTTTGATAATAATAAGCACTAAATAACATGATATATATATATATATATATATATATATATCATGTTATATATATTAATGTTATATGTTATATATATATTATTATATATTTTTTACAATATTCTATAAATTTTACCGAATGTTTGGCGTTAATATGTTTGTAGTTCGTTTTTTCGATTTTTCTCACTAAAGTTTTTTGGTGAACGTTTAGTTTATTAAAATTCAAGATAAATTTATTTTTCGAATTCATGCTGCAAATAAGGCCATATTTCGATTCCGAATGAATCATCATCAGTGCTCCTTGCTGTATATATAGGGAAATATTGACTTTGTCAAGATGAACTTTGACGTTGTAAAAATTAACAAAGAATAAAATGACAAAGAAGAATATGTTGCTATCGATGAAGAAAAGGAGACTAAAGAAGACCAATAAAGAAACCTGACACCTAATTCGCATCAAAGTTCAA